TTCTTAAATAGTGTGGTGGGCTTTTCTGACTACTTCCCCTCTCACTCTCCCCCCAGTATAATTCAGATGTGGCTTTTGAACTGATTTCTGCTCCCTCGTTCCCTGGGAAGGGTCCTGGCACTGGGCAGGGCGCTGGAGGCCCCATCCAAGGGTGGCATCAGCCCGTGACAGCTGGAGCATGGCGCGGGGCTGCGCTGCGCTGGGGTTCTGAGCCCCCTGTGAGTTAATGGTGCTCCTCGGGGTAACGTCCAAGCACAAGCTGTAAGGTACTGCCACTGCCGCAGTGTGTTTGCTGTCGGTGTAAAGGCAGTGGCTGTGCTCTGAGCAAGGGACTTCTTTTTCCCCTGTTGGGATTGCCTGCTGACAGTTCCACGACTTGGCACTGCGCGGCTGCTTCACTGCCATGAAGGGGCTGCGGGCTGTGAGAAAGGGAAAGTGCTGGAAACAGGTGAGATGTCTGTTGTGTCGTATCCGTTGCCCGCAGGTAGCGAGCACTGTGACCAGGGAGCCGGGTCCCTGCCACTGCCTTCCGTGCCGTCTGTTACTCTGCCGCGTTTCGCTTGGCCACGAGTGGCTCTCGGGACATCTGGGGCTCAAAGGGCAGCCGCTGGGCAGGGCCTCGGTGCCAGCCCCTTGCTGGTTGGTGTTCTGAAATGCACCTTTGCCAATGACCTTGGGGGGTTGAGACCAGCCTGATGTGTGGCCTCTGTCACCATCCATGACATGCCGTGAGCTGGGTTTCAGGCTGCTGCGGCCATTATGGACGCTAGCTTACAAACACTGGAGGGGGACAGGAGAAGTTGGTAAGACTCTGTCGCTGGCAACAGGGAGCAATTGAGTCTTGGAAGAAAAATCACTCTTTTAAAGCCCAAAATAGTTTGATTAATAAATTATTTCTATGTAGCTGTCCACTGCTTTGTTGTAGCAAAACCAGCGTGCAAAGTGTTTCTCAGTTTGTGATCTTAACCATGGCGAGCATTCACCCACCAGCCTGTAAGGGGAAAGACCCAAACTGCAGGGAGAGCCCTGCTGAGTGCAGTGGAGGGCTCATGCCTGCTGAAAACACAGACACAGAGTGTGCATCTGTGTGCGTGCATGCATCTGTGTGTGTGTCTTTCTGTGTGTGCATGTCTGCGTGCATCTGTGTGTTTGTAGCTGCATGCATCTGTCTATGCATGTCTGCATGCATTTCTCTGTGTGTTTCTGCATGTGTGCGTCTGTGGCTGCATGGCTGTGTTCATGTGTGTCTGCGTGTCTCTGTGCTTGTGTGCATGCGTCCGTGTGTCTTTGTGTCTCTGTCTTTGCGTGTGTGCCTGTGTCTCTGTGTGTGTGTCTGTGTATCTGGTCTGTGGCTGGCTCTGTATCTGTGTGTCTGTGTTTGCATGTGTGCATGTCTCTGTGTGTGTCTGCGTGTCTTTGTACCTGCATGTGTGTCTGCATCACTGTGTGTCTGTCTCTGCGCGCGCGCGTGTGTGTGTGTGTGTGCGCGTGCGCGCGCACGTTTGTGTGTGCCTGAGTCTCTGTGTGTCACGGTCACTGTGATGGCTCGCAGCAGCTCCATGTCACCCAGGAGACGCTCAGGATGCTCCCAGGTGGGGAGGAACAGGTTTGCTTAGGACTCACAGGGCCTGGCCAGGCCTGTGCTGCGTTCCTGTTCCTGCCGGGTGCTGCTGATACAGCAAAATGAAGGAAGCGCAGGTGTCACGTCTCCACCGCGGGTGAGGACTGCAGCGCAGCGGGATGCAGCCGCTTGTTGGAGCTGCACCCCCCAGCCCCTGTGTGCCAGGAGCGGGGCCCTCCCAGCCGTCACCAACTGAAAATGGTGGAGTTCAGCAGTCGGGTTTTGGTGTGGCGCCGATACACGCTGCCACCTGCAGAGACGTTCTCCCAGGTGCCCTAGGAGGTCTTGACCCCATCGCTGGGACTTGCACCAGTATGTCCTGGCCCTAGAACGAGGGAGCAGCCTACGTGTGAGTACCTGAGTGAGTTCCAGAGGGTCTGTGTGAGTAGAAGGTGCAGCTTCATTTGCTGAGGGGGGCACAGACCCATGCTCTGATGGCTTTAAAAAGGCCAAAAAGAAAACAGTCATTTTCCTATCATTTGTTTTGCCAATTCTCACCTTTTGTGCACCCTTCCAGTTCTGAAGTGACAGGACCTGGCTCCTGTGTCTCTGGTACCTGGGTCAAATTACCCCTTTTTCAACAGGTCAGCTTCCTGTGCATTTTTAATACACAACAAAAAAAATCTTTCAGGTAATGTTGTGTGCTTACCGTTTCCTTGTCTTAGCGTGACCTGCTCACCACGAAGGTCTGGTAGGAAGCAGTGAGGCAAGATGTGGTTAACTGCCCCTGTTACAGTGGAGTCTGAGGGTCTGTAACAGTGAAGTGCCCAGCGGGTCGGTACTGGGTAACCAGTCTGTCTCACGGGAAAAGATGTTTTTGATGGCTTTTTGGTATCGCAGAGCTTCTGCTATGATAAGGAGGGGGGTGCTTGTGTGCACAGCTCTGAGGAGAGGTCTGGAAAGAGGGTAGCTCCTGCAGCAGGGCGCTGGCAGAGGGATCTGAAAATGACTCTTTGTCAGCTAAATCAGGTGAGGAGATCCCACGACTGGATCGGACCACAGCAGGCGACTGGTTTGCCACTACCATAAGCAGAAAGAACCAGCATGGCATAGAAACGACATAACGGGGAGGGGGGGAGAATAAATATTGGGAATACACAGCTGCCCTTTGCTGTCACCAGTAAACCAACCCTGACCTTTAGCGAGCTCCTCCCAACATTTACTCCAGGTATCTTGATTATTTTTTGAACGTTTAAATCCATCTCCTCGAAGAGGTACCACAGTCTGAGGTAAAGCACGACGTAATTGTAGGAGTGACAACCTGTACCGGATTAAGAGAAGGCAGCTGCTCCTGGGATCCTCCTCCTCGTGTGGCAGCGCATAAAACCAGCTGCTCTGCTGTCACGGTGGTTGGTTGCGAAGTGCTCGGCGAGGCGAGCGCTGTAGGGCTGTCCTGCCACGCTGTCACTACCGTGACTCTTTAAACCCTGGTTTGTTCCCAGTTCAGCGCTGGGGTGCTGCCGGCGCCCGCCCCGGCCCCAAAGTCCTCCCCAGTGCAAGCCAGGAAGGAGGGGTGTCTACCTACGGGATGTGTGCTGCACCAGCACCGAGAGCAGCCTTAGGACACTGTAACAAACACACTTCCAACAGCTCTCCCAGATCCCTGCTGCAAGGCCTGGAGTAGGTTTTTTTTTGTTTTTTTCTTTATGGTTCTACAAGCTTAGGGGTCCATGACATCACTCCAAATCATCACAAAGAAGAAAAATAAGTAGTACATTTATTGAATCCACTTACTACTACTTCTAGCCTTTATTCAGACACTTGTGCTCAGCTTCGAGCGCCAAGAATTTCTTCATTATCATTCAATGTGAATGATGCTGTACATGAATCCAGTGCAGGAGGTCGGGCTCTTCTCTCTTACACGAGTGACAGAGAGGGTTCTAGTCTTTCTGTCCTTTTTTTTTTTTGGCTGCACAAAATAACCCTTTCCCAGGGCACATGAGATAAAATACTATATTGCATACTATATACATTTACATACACCAGTAAATGCACGATTCATTCAGAAATTCACAATACCTAAGGCTCAATGGAGACGCTCGGTTGGGGCGACTTCTCTCCGGCTGGAGAAAAAGGCGCTTACGATGGCTGTGGGAATCCGCGTTCAGACGGCTCCTGCCCCTCTCCTCTCGGAGCTGCCGCCATCTCTGTGCCCGCAAGGGAGGGATGCTGGCCCACAGCATGCAGGAGCCCAGGGCTCAGCGACAGACAGCGTGCACGGCCGTGACGGGGATCTCTGAGAGCAGTTACCCAGCGAGGGCAAGAGGAGGCAAAACACCTTCGTGCGCTGACCTGACCCCATGCAGCAGTCGTAAACTGAACAGCCCCCTAACCAGGACGTAGGAAACCACTTCCAGATCCGCGCCTTCCCTTTGCAGCTGAATGATACTTACTTGTAGCTGGTTTTTGCTTTTCTCCTTGGGTGGGTGGCCTGCGGGGGGATTAAAAACGGGCGCTAGCTATCACCATACCTGATAGGGGCCCTGGAGTTGCTGAAAAGAGAAAAATGTTCCGCTTGTTTTTTAATTTCAGCTAATCAGACGCGGGGAGCCGAACTGTCTGCTTTCTGCTGTATCAGCCTTTACAGTACCTGAGCTTCGCCTGCCCAGCTGCTGGGCTGCACTGCCCCATGCCTCCGCAGGGCTCTCAGGGGACATGCTGCGCCTCGGTTATCTGCTGCAATGTCCAAAGTCCCTGCGGAGAAACACTTGCCCCGTTGCCACATGTGACAACCTTTTCCCTAGGATAACCAACCAATTCTGCGTGTCAGTACCTGCGGCTTTGCCTTATCCGCCCCGGTCACCGGACGCCACACTGCAGCCCCAAGCCTGCTCCGGCTCCCAGGATGCTGCAGGCCCCAGCACCACACGCCTTGGCACTTCAGCAGCCATCACGGCTGCTGTCCTTTGCACGGGGAGGAACAAGGCGTTCTTGTACCTTGCTGCTGCCAAGCAGACTACGGGATAAAAGCTGGGGTTCACTGGACTAGACTCCCCTTTTATCAGGCTGCTGCTGTCTCCTCAGCAGCGGGCTCAATAGTTCCGCTCTCCTGGACTCGGAGGAGTAACGCGTTAACCCTCCAGCTACTGCCCGTTACCAAGAAAAGGAATTTAAACATAAAGTGTTAACCATGCTCTCTCCCCCGCTCTAAGTAGGGCAGGCATTCCACATCCTTCCTGCAAGTTAAAGTCAAAGCGTAACAAACCATTAATACTCAAGACTGTGGCTTGCACTCCGTGCCCCCGGGCAGTGTCGGGGCAGCAGCCCTTCCGAAGGCGCACACGCACGTTCTCTGCTTGTCTGTCCGGTTGTTTTGGCTTGAAGCGATGGCGGCGTAGCACCGCACGTCCCAATGGCACTGGGGGCACGGGAGCCCCTCTCAGCTCCAGCTGGAGTTCTGCAGTTCCTCCCGGAGCCAGGTGGGAAGGGGCTGCGCAAGTCTGTTCATCAGCTTGGATAACTCAATGTTGTGCTCCCTGTAGAAGTCTCTGAGGAACAGCCGTGACTGGGGGGGAAATACAGACCACGTTAGTGTGAAAGAAAACACTACCCTCAACGCGTGTCCCGCAGGTCATCTAGGACAGAGCGGGTAGGAAAATCCAGCCCGGTTAGCCAGGGTGTTTCTGCATCTCTGTCTGCCGACAGACCTGAGACAGTTACTCACCGAGGAGTCCATGTCAGGGTATTTTCTTCCTTTACTCTTTCCGAGGCATTTAGTCTTTCCTCCGTCTAGCAGCTGGCACCAAAATCCTTTTGCTTCATCAAATCTGAAAAGGACGCTTGTCTTTAAAAGGTATGGCCACATGCCCAATTAGCAGCAGCAATTAAACTACTCCAGAGGTCTTTCCCCTTCCAGTGCTTTACAAATTGGGTTTGGGTTTTATTCATTTGTTTATCTGAAGTATTGGTTCCTTTTTTTTTAAGCACTGACTACTTTGACAAGAAATTCATTACAAGCAAGACTGTTTCAGCTTTGTGCACATTTCAGCGGTAACATGGTGTTACAATGTTTGCCCTGTTCAACTTGGGAGGGGGAATAATAAACAATGTTTTAATGTATATAAATTCTTTTAAATCTCATTGTTATAGTTCAGAAGTTAGAGAACCCCCCCCACCTGTGTAGTCAGTATTACTTTTCTTGCTAACAGACACACAGGGATAAGGCAGTACTGGGAACCCTGTCTGGCTCCGGTCTGGCAGGTCTCATCGTCGGAGATAAGAAGTATTCTTCCAAATATTGCTTATTAGTACCGCACTGGGCTGAGAGAGCGTCCTCCCCAGAACGATTTCCCCACCTGAGCGCCTGGGTGTAGTTGAAGAGCGGCGTGACTCCCAGGAATTTCTGGATGTTGTCCATCACAGAGGCCGGGTTGTGCCGCAGCTCCTGGCCGTCCACAATGAGCAGCTGGAAAGACAGCAGCCACCTCAGCCCACGACAGTGCCGAATGGCGCCCGCGAGCTTCCCGCCCCGCGGAGCTCCCCTGGCCCAGGACAGGCTGCCAGAGCCTGTTTATTCCAGCCCAGCGCGGTGGGGGATGTGGCCCTTTGGTTATGACACGGACCACAGGTCCTACAGGACAGCAGATGGTGACAAGCTTTGCTTAATAAATCTCCCTTTGGCCGCAGCCCATGTGAGTGAGTGCTCAGGCCCAGCAGCAGCACGATTCAGATCGTCCCTGGAAAGCCCACGTATTTGTTCTAGATGGCAGCAGCCATTGAGCTAATCATAGAATCGTTAGGGTTGGAAAAGACCTCTAAGACCATCAAGCCCAACCATCACCCCAACCCCACCACGCCTGCTAAACCATGTCCCGAAGTGCCACATCTACACGTTTCTTGAACCCCTCCAGGGATGGGGACTCCACCACTGCCCCAGGCAGCCTGTCCCAGTGCCTGACCACTCTTGCAGTAAAGATATCCAACCTAGCCCTCCCCTGACGCAACTTGAGGCCATTGCCTCTCGTCCTGTCGCTGGTTACTTGGGAGAAGAGACCAACCCCCCCCTCACGCCAACCTTTCAGGCAGTTGTACAGAGCGATGAGGTCTCCCCTCACCCTCCTCCAGACTGAACAGCCCCAGCTCCCTCAGCCACTCAGAATCACAGAACCACAGAATGGTTGGGGTTGGAAGGGACCTCTGTGGGTCACCCAGCCCAACCCCCTGCCCAAGCAGGGTCACCCAGAGCAGGCTGCACAGCACCGCGTCCAGGCGGGGTTTGGATATCTCCAGAGAAGGAGACTCCCCAGCCCCCCTGGGCAGCCTGGGCCAGGGCTCCGTCACCCTCAGAGGGAAGAAGTTCTTCCTCGTGTTCAGCTGGAGCTTCCTCTGCTTCAGTTTGTGCCCATTGCCCCTTGTCCTGTTGCTGGGCACCACCACTCCTCATCAGACTTGCTCTCCAGACCCCTCCCCAGCCTTGCTGCCCTTCTCTGGACACGCTCCAGCCCCTCAATGTCCTTCTTGTAGTGAGGGGCCCAGAACTGAACACAGCACTCGAGGTGCGGCCTCACCAGTGCCGAGTACGGGGCACGATCACTGCCCTACTGCTGGCCACACCATTGCTGATCCAAGCCAGGATGCTGCTGGCAACCTTGGCACACGGCTGGCTCCTGTTCAGTTGCCTGTTGACCAACACCCCAAGACCCTTTTCCACCGGGCAGCTAAGTATTCTTCTGCACCCTACGATCAGTCTCCTGGCAACCCGTACGACAGACAATAACAACCAACATTTCTGCTAATCAATTACTGATTCCAAAGAGCACAACACAAAAATAGTGGCATGAACTGAAGTCTGGGGAAGGTGGCAGACCCTGACCCGCAGTAAGTAGCAAGATGGTGTGTTGGCTCCATCATTCCTCACAGCAGTAACCTCCGAGACACGAACCCAAGAATGGTTTCCCTTGTCTCTGTCAGTCTTGGCAGAGCTATCCTGTACAGTTCAGGCTGCTGCTACGGCAGAGAGTAAGAGACTAAATGGACGTTATAAGACTCTGCCGGACTATAGACTGTCTGAGGCTAAGCCCAGCAGCAGAAAGGAACTTCAAAAAACATACCCCGACTCAGAATGTGTTAGACAGCTTACAAGTTTCTTCGGCATTTAAACAGAGAAATGGTCTGTATTGTCTATTAATTGACTTTTAGCAAATTTCGACACAAAACCTGACACCTCTGTGGGGAAATCTCCCTTCAGCGGATGGCTAAAGGCTTCGCAACATGGGAACGAGCCAGCGGCAGAGACCCGGAGCCGCTCTCCAAAGTGATGAGAGCACAGCAAGGAGCTGCACGCTGCTGGGCCCCGAGAGGGTCCCTGGGCTGCAGGCAGCCAGGATGAAGGGAAGGGAGTGCCAGCACTGCTGGTCTTGCTGAGCTTCTCAGTATCGTGGAGCTCTCTGGGAGATCGCAGTATCCTCTTGCTCTCACTTAGTTTTACAAATATAATAAAGTGCAAAATCGGAGTATTCAAGCCTGACTTCTTACCAGCTCGTAACAGGGGGAAGCAAGCGGTGGCTCTTCTTCCACAAGACAGAAGGTGAAATGAAGACAACGGGGCGGGAGGGGAGAGCACACGCATGTGTTCACTGTTCCCCTCTCCACTACACCCAGGAAGGGCTCCAGCGCGCCACGGGGTCACTGTGAGCGCGCTGGTGCTGAAAAAAATAAACAAGCTGAATTGAGGAGCAGCAACACAAAATGCCACCTCCCCGAGGGCTCGGCGCAGCCACCCACCAACGCCTTTGTGTGCAGCCATCTGTGCAGCCTCTGTCATCTCCCCGGGCCCCTCTGTGGAAACACAGCCAAGGGCTTTCCACCCCGGGCTTTCCGCCGCGCCCCACTGGAATCTCTCGCCGGCCCTCGCCCGCAGAGCGGAGCAGGGAAGTTACCTGGTACCACGAATAGGCTCGGTCGGCAGGGTTGATCAGGACAGTAATGATCTTGGCTCGAGGCAGCAGGGCCGCACCCCGCTTTGGTACCACCTCCGTGTCGAAGTAGTTGGCGCTCTTCTCAAACATGAAGTCTGTGCTGGCATTGGAGGGGATGGGGAAGAATTCCATGTACCTGCCGAACAGAGGGGACGCCGGTCAGCAGCGCGGCCCAGCAAAGACACAGAACACTGGGGCCGACAAAAGGGTAAGCAAGCGTTTTGCTGAGAGTGTTCCCCAAGCCCTGGGGCAGTGGAAGGAAAAGGCTGAGGGTAGGGTCCTAGCTGCAAGCTCTAGCAGAAGAGAGGTCCCAAGAGGTCCCCTTACTCTTGTCCCAAGAATAAGGCCAGAATCAGCTGCCTGCCCTGCCACTGACGGCTTGGTTTAGACCTGTCTAAATCGTTTGTGTTTGTACCTCAGTTCATAGCTGAGACACAGGGTCAAGAGCTCTGCTCTGCCTCAGGAGAGCTGGTAAGATCAGCAACGCAGAAACGGAGACATTCGAGTGATGGTGGAGCAGAGGCTAAGGGGTGAACAGGGCACTGTGAAGTGCTGGACAATTGGTCTCTGCTGAAATTGAAGCTGTCCGATGGACTCAAATTCCATTCTAAACACGGAGATGCTCCTCTTGCGCGTGATGCTGCACTCAACTCAAGCTGGATGACTTTTCTAGGGGGTGCACATAAAATCCTCCGCTTTCTAAGCCTATCGCTCAGCTAGTACGACTGCTCTGTAGCGCTTGACTCGTGAGCCTCACACAATACCAACCGCCTCCCAGCATCTTTTCAGCAGTCCTCTAAACGATTAAGTCAGTCTGACAAAACCTCCCACAGCTCACAGGAACGGAGAGCCCACGGCAGAAGCCTTACTGCCACATGGGCGTCCCTCCGAGCCCCCCAAGGGACTGCAGTCCCACAGCGGACCCAAAGCCCAGGCTTCAAGCACGAAACAACCTCCCAATTTCTCTGCCTGGAAACACAGTGGCTTCACAGTGACACAGGGACACCGGTATTTCCCTGACAGGGGGAAACACCTTCTCAAAACCACATGCTTGTACGGGTGAAGAACAAGGTATGGATGCGGCCACAGAGACACTGGAGCCAGCGCAAGGAATGCCCCGTCATCTCTGCGAAGTCTGCAGGGCCCAGAACAACGGTACGGAGGCTGTCCCCGCCGTCCTGCGCCTCTTAACTTGGAAACCACAAAGAGCTTTTTAATGGGCACGCTGTTGTCTGTTTGGCATGTCAAGGGAGAAGAAACCTCACCACAGCAGCGCATTCAACAAAGACTCAATTTTGAAAGCTAAATCCTCCCTAGAATCTCCTGGTGAACCATCACTACGATCAGAAACTACCTGTCCTGCTCCAGGGTTGGGTTAGCAGGAAAACAGAGCACGTGCGCTGAGCAGCAGCGATGAAAGCAGCTGCTGGGAGACAGAGAAGCCGCCTGGAGTGGGCACACAGAGAGACGCGGGAGAAGACAACGCGGGCGTGCCTTACCACAGCAGCACACGCGCCAGGATTCTTACCAATCAATTCCTTTGTGATAGTTGGGTCCGTTAAAAAACTGGATCTCCTCGAAGGTGGACGGACTTGGGAAGTTACTGGTGACAGCTGGGTGCATGGTCAGGAAGAAGTGCACGGCCGTTGTGCCTGCAACAGGAACCAGTAAACAGGACCTGGGTCACACACGATGCCTGGCTGAAGGACAGGCCTGACGCTGCCGAAAGCGGTCCCCAGGTGGGCACCCTCCTCCCACGCATGGGTAACCCACCCCTGACCAACCCACGCCAGGCACAACAGCAGCAACGCCGAGCTCTGGCACTGAGCTTGACTCGGCAGCTCCACCCCGCACTTCAGCCCACAGAGCGGACTGAAGCCACCTCCTCAGCACCACAGCCCTCATCCATGCCAGCATTTTGAGTCCTCACCACGGCTGGGCTACCCCCACGCCTTTTTTCCCCACTGTCACGGGGCAGAACCCGTACCTGGTGGCCTGGGCACTGCAGGACAGCATCACGCGTTTGGGAAGGGGCCGCGCTAGGGACAACATCGGTGTCCTTGGCTGAGAATTCAGCTAGAGGTGCCTTGGCCTGCCTCTGCCGTAGATGTTTTCCCCCACCCAACCGAACCCGACAGCGGTAGGCCTCTGGCAGGCCAATAAATCAGCCGAGAGAAGGGTTTTCCTGCTGTGGCACAGGAGGGCTCGCGCTACGCACGCAGCTACAGAGCTTCCTGGTGCCGCAGGCAGGAGACAGCAGCTTGGCCGGGACAAGCTTCCTCCCAAGGCCAGGATCACCGTTTGCTGCGCCTGGCTGCTGTTTCACTGCGCCACGGAGAAAGTCAAGGCTTGAAGAGCTGGCTTCGGCTGAGGGGACGTTGCTCTCCTCAGCACGGCACGTACAGCCGTGTCAGCGCCAGCCACGATGCCACGGGAGTGAGGAGGTGGTGACAGAGGTCAGACAAAAGAGGATCTCCACCTCCCGCTGACGGTGACACAGAGCATGCAGCGCGTACACAGATCTGTCGCAATCAACACACTCGGGGGCATTCATCGCAACCCTTGCCAAGCACCGCGCATCGGCCCTGCCGACAGCTTCTGCTTGTAGCACGCGAAGAAAGGTCACAGTTCCTCTGAGCTCGTGTGGAGCAGCCAAGGCGCAGCTCTGCAGGCAGGGCTTCTCCTGCAGACCAGGGCTGAGCGAAGCCAAGTGCCAGGGCGCGAGGTACGGAGGACAGACTCGCCAGACTGAGCTCAGACAAATCTGAGATTCTCCAAAACGTCCTCTTTGGCAGCTGGCACAGAGAGCGGCCGCAGAGATCTGCGGCACAGACCTTTTCAGCTCTGCTCTCCGGAGGAAGGAGCTGGACGCTGCAATCTCTCTTCAGCTAAAGTAGTCACGTTACCGGTTTTCTGGGGTCCCACGATGAGGAACTTGGGGAGCCGATCGCACGTTTTCTCTTTGGACCAGATATCCTTGTGCCTCTTATCGTCGCACGGATTCTGCAGCACAAGTGGCGGGATTAAGCGTTACCACGGGAGCTGACGGCAAGGGGAGGACAAGCTGGAAGGCCAGTCCTCTCGGGGAAAATGCTATCAGCGTACGAAGCGCGCCTCGCAGCCACGCTGCACTCCGCCAGGCATCGAGAAGATTTAAGGAAAAACACGGGGGAACGTTTTCAAAGGCTCCGAAGTGACATGGGAGCCGAAGTCCCCCCGAGAGCGTTAACCACAGGTCCTGCCCCACGTAGACGGGCTGGGCCACCGCGACAGCACAGCTCAGTGAACTGCTGGCTGGCTGACAACTCCATCACCTCCAGTTAATTTCATCGGCTCATCGCCACGCAGAGAGCTGCTGCGCTGGGGTAGAATGCGATAAGCATGTTTTTATTTAATGAACATGAATTCTGCAGTGTGAAATTACTTGAAGATTAATCACATTAACGTGCCTGCAAGCTCCTCCAGCACTGAACAGGGTTCTTCCTCGCACACTGCGCGTTTCACAGCAGCCTGCTCTAACACAAGCCCCTCAACGACCCAAGCGCCCGCAAGCCCACCCCTGTCACCACAGCCGTCCCCGTCCCGAAGCCCAGACCGTGACTGCGTCCTGCTGCTCCCGCTCCCCACCCCCTCCACTCTGCTGTCTGCCGCTTGCAGGCTCAAGCCGCGGAGGTTCAGCCTAAAGGCTTGATGGGTTACCTCGCTGTGCTCTGGGTCAGACGGCTTGCCACCTTCTACAGGTGGGCCATACCTCCTGGAAAACCCCTCGGAGCGGTCAAAGCTGCCTGCTCCCCTGCCACAAGGGATTCTTCTCCTGGGGAAAGATCTCAAAGTACTTTTTCGCCAGCTGGATGGGGGGCAATGTTTGCAGGCGAAGGTTGGTCCAGCACTGCACAAACTTGACCAGGCTCTCGAAAGTGTAGAGTCCCAGGCGGTCATTCCCGTAGTTGGACAGGTGGGTCATGAAGATGCTGATCTGGAAACAGCAAAGACAGGGGATACCGGTAAATCAGGTAATGGTGCTGCGTCCTCCCAGCCTGACGCCCCTGTCAGCAAGGGGCCGTTCACATCGCGGACTACCCTGGCTGGCGGGGGTGACACACGTCCATCTGCCAGGAGACAGCACAACCTTGATGAAAATTGGGATGCAGCTTGGGGAAGGAGGGACGCCGACCTCTCGGTAACGCCGGCAATGGGGTGGGGGGCAAGCACTGCACCCTGGATGCGAGTCCAGAATGGTTTCTAGACCCCGTTCAAGCGGCTCTGGGACATTTAGGGGAACAAGGGCTGGTCAGCGAGTCCCTCCTAGTCAAAACCTTGCACAGCCCCTTTCACGGGAGAGCAGGAGCTTGGCGGGCTGGGGCACAGCGGCACAAGGGACAGTTTCCACCGGAGTTATTTCCAGGCCCACAGCCAGTCGGCTTTCATCCGCTTCAAAGTTGAGATCTCAACTGCAAAGGAACAACTGGCAATTCATTCACGCTTTAAAAAGCATTACCTGGGGATCTGAATGCGGACTGCAAAGAGACACCGTCCTCGGAGCAGGCACCAGCTGACGAGGTTTTAGCTCGCAAGAGTCTTCAAGCACTGGCAGCCCCCAGAAAACGTCCTGCCAGGCCTGAGGGTGTAAACCCGCAGGCAACCCGGCACAGAGCACCCACGGGAGCCCTCCCAGCACCCAGAGCTGGTGTGCTATTGCTCTGCCTTGCCCAGCCGTCTCTCCTCTCAAGCAGATAAATTTCCCTCCCGTCTGTCTTTCGGTATTTTAACTTTTGGAAGAGAGCGCTGAGGGCTGCCGTCAGCGTGACTCTGGCACGTGGCTCTGACGGGTCCCACGGCACTGGGCATCCCCGCGCCTGTAAGGCGACGGCACTCTGCCAGACGCAAAGCGCGCCGCGGCTGCAAGTCAGCAAAACAATCGCAGCCGAACGCTCTGGCCAGCGGAAGAACGACTGCGGGGATGGCTTCGCGCTCCCCACCCAGCACCCGCTCGCGCAGGGAGGGGAAGAGACCTCGCTCACGTTCGGGGCCGAGCCCTAACGATGCCCGGTAAGGTCAGGAGGCAACAGCAGGCTTCCCTGGCGGGCTTTCCTGCTCACGGTAGGGGAAGAGCAAAAGGGGGAAGCAGGAGACAGATGGCCTTGGGATGAAGACATTTGCTGGCACTCGGGAGGCTGGGACGCAGCTTTCTGCCCGGTGTCACCGTGGACTGGTCTCCATGCGACAAAAGGTGCTGACGGACACCAGCTCTCTGCACCCGAGCCATCCCCAAGGCACTGCGACACTCATTGAATCCTGTCCGTAAGGTGCTCCCACCCCAGGGTCCATGTGTATCACTCCTGGTTTCCCACTGAGCGGACAGAAAGGCCCTGCCAGACAGGCTCCGGCACCCGCACTTCCGACAGCAGCGTGCGCTCGGTGCTCTGGTGTAAAAAGAGATGCGCTAAATGCAACCCAGAGCAAAAGCAGAAACATCTCCTGCGTCACTGCCGGGCCACGCCGTGGAGCACAGCAGGCGGCAAAAGGATGCGTCTCGTGTTGTATTGCCCATTTTTGGGAGAGCTGGGGAAGGTGGGGGGACAGCACAGGGTGGCTCAGCCCTTCGACTCGCCAGTGAAACACTCTGGTGTAAAAAGAGATGCGCTAAATGCAACCCAGAGCAAAAGCAGAAACATCTCCTGCGTCACTGCCGGGCCACGCCGTGGAGCACAGCAGGCGGCAAAAGGATGCGTCTCGTGTTGTATTGCCCATTTTTGGGAGAGCTGGGGAAGGTGGGGGGACAGCACAGGGTGGCTCAGCCCTTCGACTCGCCAGTGAAACATTTCCCAGGGAGGCTGTGGAGTCTCCTTCTCTGGAGATATTCCAGACCCGCCTGGACACGGTGCTGTGCAGCCTGCTCTGGGTGACCCTGCTTCGGCAGGGGGGTGGGGTGGGGGACCCATAGAGGGCCCTGCCAACCCCGACCATTCTGTGATTCTGTGAAAAATTTGCTGCATGTAGCGCCTGGCTCACCGGCATCAACCAAGTCCCGCAGCAGGGAGGACGCAGGTCACCAGCTGGTGCCCCTTCAAGACTTCCAGAATAAAAAAAGCCTGCAAGTAACCCAGGGCAGTAACTGCGTCTCAAGACTGACTACGTCTGGCAAAACGGCTCGCACAAGTCCTGCTGTCACCTGCAAACGGTCCCAAGCGACTGGGTTTAGCAGATGACACGACAAGCCCAACCCAACCGAAGAGCCGTCTCCCCGTACTTCTGCGCGCGCAGTCATGTCCCGCGACGCACCCGCGCTGCTGAACAAGGCTGGGCAGCTTGCTCTGCCTCGTCACGGCCACTGCTGCCCAAACC